TACCACTTGAGCCACAGCGCCACTTCCAGCTTTTTCTTTTTGCTTATGTGGTGCTAAGGAATCAAACCCAGGGCCTCATGCATGCAAGGCAAGCGCTCTGCCACTGAGCCACCTTCCCAGCCCCTTAAAGGTAATTTTTTAAAAATAAAGAATGATAAAAAGGGAAAGTACTTTTTAATCAACAGAAGCACCTTGAATTATTCAAAGTCTCTTATTCTCTCATTTCCCTTCCTTTTAATTTTTTTTTTGGTTTTGTGGCTTGTCTAATTTCCAAGGAACTAGACATTTGATAATGGGACATTCAGGAGGGAGGAAGGTAAGGCCATATGAAGCAATTGTTCTTTTGGATGATGAGAAAATAGGCAATGTCATGTTTGTAGGTATAGAAACAATTCTTATACCAGTATGAATCAATCAGTATGAATCACTGATTTATACTGGTGTGTGGGACTAAGGCCCAAAATAGCCGTAGTTTGCAAATGTTCCCCCTTGAACTATTTTGCTCAAGTATAGTGCTCTACTACTTGAGCCACGGCTCCACTTCTGACTTTTTTTTTTGGTGGTGAGTTGGAGATAAGAGATTCCTGGAGTTTGGCTTTGAACCACAATCCACAGATCTCAGCCTCCTGAGTAGGTAGGATTATAGGCATGAGCCATCAGAGCCCTCTATTTTAAACTCTCTCAGCAGGAAAAGAAATAAAGCAAATGTTAAAAAATGTTTAAAAAATGTAAAGTTAAAGTTTTAAAAAATGTGAACAAAAGTTTAAGTGATGACAATACAGGATCTGCATACTATTTTCTCAGCTTTGGGATTTGCTGGAAAGTTTTTCATAATGAAAAGTAAAAAAACAACAACAAAAAAGCTAAAACAAAAACAAAAACAAAACCCCAAAGCTTTTCAAAAGCCCCAAACTTTAGGTTTGGTTGGAAAAATTGTCCTGGGTTTTGGGCTCGGCAGAAGTCTAAGAAGAGCCATGAAGTTTGCCCCTCATACACGTAACTTGGGATGTCCTCATTGTTGATGTGGGCAGGACTTAAGAATTAATAAGCTAATCTTTTATTATCATTATGTTACCTGGTAAAGATGAATGACTTTGCAAAGTAATTGAGGTCTCTGATCAGTTGGTATTTTGAGCTGATCAAAAGAGCTATTATCTTGGACATTAAAGTCTTGTCTAAACAAGTAAGCCAGGTCCTTTAAAGGAGACTTGTTGCAAGCAACAAAAGACCCTTCTTTGTAGGCCTTGACAAGCAAACTGCCATGGAGTAGGGAGGACCATGGGGAATGGGCAGGGAACAATGCCATCTCAGGCCTACAACCCCAAGGAAATGAAATTTGCCAAAATCTATCCACCTTAGAAAAACATCTGGAGCCTCAGTTGAGATTGCAGCCCCAGGCAACACCTTGATCTCAGCATGGGGAGACCAGTGGATGAGTAAATGGCCCAGCTAATTTATGACTCTGACTCATGGAAACTAGATAATTCATAAAGAAAATAAACATAAAAATAAAAGAAGCAATAACAAATGCAGGTCTCAACTAATAAGGCAGTACTAATTGATTAGTGATAGCAGCCTAGCACACACTATTATAAAGGATTCTAAGGCTAGGTCTGGCCTCCTTGGAGAGAAGAGAGAGGTGGTTGATTAGTAATGTCTGTATGGGCAGGGAAATGATAACATGCACTTTCTTCTGTTAGCGCTTGTGCAATATACAAGTTCCCTCTTGTGTATTTGGGGATGTTGAGTTTACTAATTTGTTTTTCTTAATGTCAGAATAAGGTAATAAGGCTTGGATCCCCAAGTTGTGGGGATGGGGGAGGGTATCGTGTGATAATAGCCTCAGATTCAGATGTCTGGAGAAGTTATCAAGAGAGATTTTTAGCAACTGTAAAATGTCCCTGGCTGGTACATTAAGCTGGGGTTTCTGGTGAGTATCTTCCCCACTATTCTCTCCTTTCCCCTTTTGTACTATCCCTCAATATCCTCCTTTAAACATACACAGGTCTTCTCTGAGTAGGAAAATAACATGCTAAAATGTCATTTAATCATGTCCTTACTTCCTGGACCCCAATGCATCAGGCTCTTCACCCTCATGGGGAAATGTCAGAATTCCCAAAGTTAGGGTAGGGGGCCCAGTTTGTAATCCTAGCTATATAGGAGGCTGAGACCTGGAGAATCAAGGTTCAAAGCCAGCCTGGACAGAATAGTCTGCTTGGCTCCATCTCCAAAATAACCAGCAAGAAAGCCAAGTTGACATCATGGCTCAAGTGGCAAAGTGCTACCTAAGCAAGCTGAGCAAGTGTAAAGCCCTAAAGTCAAATTCCAGTGTGGGGAAAAAAAATTCTTCAAGACACTTATGCCAAATATCTATTAATATAGCACCTTTACATCGTAAAACCATGCACAGACCAAGTCTAATGGCTCACATCTCTAATCCTACCTAATTGAGAGGTGAAGAGAGTACAAGCAACAAAAAAAGATCATAGTTGAAGGTCAACCTATAAAACAAGTTAGAGGAACCCCATCTTAACCAAAACAAAAAACAGAAAAAACATAAAAAGGTAGGCATAATAGCATGTACCCGTCATCCTAGCTAAATGGCAAGTGTAAATAGAAGGGTATCCGTCCAGTGCATAAACGCAAGAGCCAGTTCAAAAAATTCAAAGCAAAATGGACTGAAGTCATAGCTGAAGGGGCAAACACCTGCCTGTCATTTGTGAAGTCCTGAGTTAGAATTCCACACCGCAACAAAACAAATCAAAAAACACACACACATCACAACACAGTATCTCTCTGCAATAAAGTGTACAAGTCCTTGTTTTCAGGGTGTAGGCTGCCTTCCCATCCATCCAGGTGCAACCTTGCAGATCCATACTCCCCCAATCCAAGCAACACATTCCTGGCATTCCCTTAAGCCCATGATGCACAGCCACGTTCCGATAGATATAGGATCAGGCATCACAAAACCTGAAGTTCAAACTCAAGGTGGTTGCACGAAATGTAAACTTATAGGGAAAGTAGCTGTTAATCAATCAAAGTGAAGGCTCTCATTCTTCAGTTAAAATAATTAAAGAAAGTGTGTGTGTGTGTGTGTGTGTGTGTGTGTGTGTGTGTGTGTGTGTGTGTTTCTGGCTGCAAAACATTTCCTTGTATTCAGGGCACTATTTGGAGCCAGCTCTCCATGGCTTCTGAACTACTGAACTGGGACTGTGTTTGGCATTTGCATTCCCAAACCACTCATTCATCTTAATTTAACTGTCTCCACCAGGGGCTTTTAACACTTGAAGACGCTCTGACATGTAACTAGGCATAAATAACAAGAGCGTGACAGCTCGCTAATGACAACACCCACACAGAAACTCAGGCTTGCTAACTGGTGACCCACAGTAGTCATACTGTGTGTCACAACCTTGGAGATCACAGTGTTCAAATGTTAAAGAATTAACCGCCAACATTTAACTTGAGAACTTTCATTTAAGAATTCATTTTTTTTTCTTGAACAGTTGAAAAACCTGGCAACTGGACATGTTCCTCAATGAAAACGACAGGCCAGTGTAATTGAATGGTGATTTCCCCGCCCCAGCCCACAAACCTCATTTTTTTCCCATTTACCACACTCTCTGCCATTTCTTGCGCCTCCCTATACTGAGGCCAAATGCCAGTTGCAATCTATCATTGTGGTTTCATGGTTTTTTTTCCCTCATGACAGAGGTGAAGACAGATCCCTTTCATTCATTGCCTCTTCAACCTCCTCCCCTGCCCCATGAGCCCCTTGAATTTGCTGACACCTGAGATTAATAAACCTCTCCAGCAACACACTAAGTTATTACTTGTTGATGGGTAATGGATTTGGCACGTATGGGGAATGCTTTTTCTGTCTTCGATGATTATTTTATTGTTCCCACTCTCCATTTGACACAAGAGGGAAACTTTCCTGTGAGTCTGATTATCGAAGAGACACATACAATTGAGCCTTTAAAAGAAACCAATCCTTTGCATTTTCCTCCTTCTTCCTACACCTGTTTGACACATGCCATGTTTTCAAAGTTTCTGATCCACAGGACTCCTGGTTGGGTACAAATACTTCTTTCTGTTTTCCATCTAGATGAGAAATACAGAGGCCTGCTCCTGTCTGCCGCTGCGAACAAAGCGTATCTAGTTACGTCGAAGCGGGGCAGCTGTGAGAAGGAAACGAAGAGGGAGAGGGTGGGTGAAAGAGGGTCCGGACCATTCATTGGAAGAGGGTATGGAGAGGAGAAAGGATCTGATGCACAGCCAGGGTGAGAAAACGAGGGTTCTGGGAGAGAAAGGGGGGACAGGCTTAGGGACAGACTTGGGGGACACTCACGACTGAGCCGTCGCCTCCGGATCCTGTCCCTCCATGGCCTGTTTCGGATCCAGTGTAATCTCGAAGGTAGCACCATGTCAGAAGCCAAGGCCGTGCCTAGGACTTGGTCATGACAGCCAAAGGGTCTCGTAGAAATCCCAGAAGTCAAGTCTAGATGCACACACTATTTTTTTTAAAAGGTTAAGAAAACAAAAAAGCCTCCCTCCTCTTTGTGTTTTGAATTTTCTTTTCTTTCTTGAAGCTGAGGTTTCCGTTGAGGTTTATCTTGCAGCTCGGCCTTGCTTTTCCTTCCCCTAACTCCTGCCTGGCTGCAAGGCAGCTGCCACGCTGAGCTGCCCAGGCCCAGACTTTCTGGCCGCCTGTGCAATGTTTTATGCATGAACTTGACGGGGAGGTAATATATTCCAGCAGAGAAGATCACCGGGCTCCTGTGTCTGCCCGCGTGTCAGAGGAGCCCCGCAGTGGCTGCCCAGGGCAGGTGTCTCTGCAGCCCTGGCTCAGGAATGGCCTGAAATGGGAATCCCGCTGCAATCTAGATGGGGAGTAGGGCTCGGTTGCCAGGCTCTCAGGCCAGCGCTGCTGGAGCCCCAGCGGAGCGACACCCCTCACATCTGACATTTATTTACTGCTGAGTCCATAGAGCTTATCATCATGTCTAGCACTTGGGAAGTGAACAATAAATACTGTGTGTGTGTGTGTGTGTGTGCGCGCGCGCGCGCACATGCACGTGCTAGTATTGGGGCTTGAACTCAGGGCCTGTCCCATAGCTCAGGGTACTGTCCCAGAGCTTTATCACTCAAGGCTGGCTCTCTATCACTTGAGTTGCAGCTCTACTTCTGGGTTTTTGGTGGCTAATTGGTAATGAGTCTCATGGACTGCTTAGAACTCTGATCCTGCAGCTCAGCCTCCTGAGTAGCTAGGATCACAGCCACAAGCCACTAGTGTACTGCACACAAAGTCAACCTTGTTTTGTTTTTAAATTAATATCAGACTCTCTTTCTTCTTCTTTAAACCACATACTCTCTGAAGTCTCCATTGCATGAATGACCTGTCACTCGCCGTCCTGATGTACAAGATGAGTGAGAACAACTGAACGCTGGGGCGTCGGCCAGTACAGTCAGAGCTAAAGGAGAGGACATGGAAAAGTTTGCATTTGCTGAGCACTGGTGGCTCATGCCTATAATCCTAGCTGCTCAGGAGGCTGAGACCTGGAGGATTGTGATTTGTAGTCAGCCTGGCCCGTGAAATCCATGAGATTCCTTCTCTAATTGACTAGCAAAAATCTAGGCTGGAAAAAAAAAATCTAGGCTGGGGGGTGGGGAGGGAAAGTAGGAGAAATATGAGGGAAGGGCTAACAAGTTTAACAAGAAATATACTTATGACCTTAATTATATAACTGTAACCCCTCTGTACATCACCTTGGCAATAAAAAAAAGAAAAAATCTAGGCTGGAGGCATGGGTCAAGTGGTGGAGTGCCAGCTATAAGCAAGTAAGATGAGTGAGCGCCCAATGTATAAACACAACAAAGACAAAAAAAGGTTGCTTTTCTTCTTCTCTTGTGAATTTAAATATGAATAGTGACAGTTTCCTTGTTATTGCCAAGATGCCTAGGTCCAAGTGTCCCACCTTCCTCTTGGGCTGTTGTTCCGGTCACATGATACCGCCTCTGCCAGGGTGAATCATGCAGTCCCTTTTGTAAACGACTCTGCTTTATGTTCTCTTTCATTAAGTAATAAATTGTCTTGTGCAGTGTGATACTCACAAGAGTAATTTTCATCTATGTTAAGAGTAGGATGAATGTCAACTTTTACTCTCGTTTGGGCCTATAATGCTATTACATTTGCATAAGTGGCAGAATTTTGTGGTGGAAACACACAGACTCTGCTAGGAGTGATGTGTTACAAAAACAATATGGGTGGAAAAATAACTCTATACTTATGTGATCTTTTTCTTTCTCTCTTCCAACTCATTCTCAGTAAATGGAAGTTAGATGTTGGACTCAGGAGAAAGAACACCAGCAAGAGTGTTTCAACTTGAAAACCAGTGTGGGGAGAGATAGGCCTTTAATTACTCAGTGGAGAACTGTACTTGCTGGCAAGGCATGTTAGAAAACTTAGAATTATTGCAAAATAAATGCTTATCAAATACCCGAAGGAAAACGATATCACAGAGCCTCTCCTGTTACCAATATCTACAAAAACAACAGAGGAACTCAGATGTTCCTCTGGAAATTGTAAGGATTGGGACACAGGTGCTGGTCATAGTGATCCAATTAGCTACCCAAGTACTTAGGAAGAAAGGGGCTAGGTGTTCCCATATTTGTTTAGATACATGATTTCATTTCATTTCCTCATTGTCGCCAATTTATTAGCAATCACATTTTTTACTTAAAAAAAAGTGGGGGTTAAAGAGTAGTTTTCCTCCAGACAAATGAAGAGAGGGAGAATGGGTAAAAACAGTCAAAATATTCACACATATTTGAAAGTGGAACCAGGTGGCTAGAGTGGATGGGAAAGGTTGGGAAAGATAAGGGAGAAAGATGGAAGAAGTAATCAAGAGGCCTTGTACTGATAAATCAACACGTTGGTTTGAAACTCGTTTATACAACTACTTAAACATAATAATAAAAAAGAGTAGTTCTTCTAAGACATAATGATCTCATACAGCACATTATATGTTCATTCTTAGAACTTATATAAGTCACAGAACTTATAATTCATAGAACATAACTCCCATGCCCATTTTTTAATGGAGGAACTCTGAATATCCTGTCCACATAGTAAGTGCCTCTTAAATTTGGCAGTACCCTTTTATTTAAAAATAGGTACTATGTAGCTTTGACAAAGACAATTATTGAATAATAAAAAAATGAGAAACTTGGACAGTTAATAGAAAATGACTATAGACAGCATCATGTCCAAATGTTTCATTTTAGAAAATGAACCTGACACTTGAGAGATTAGGAAATACATCCAAATTCACACTGCCAGGTCTCACCCCTCTCTATTCCCAAATCTCAATATAATGTTCTCTCCATGATGGCTTAGCTAATATTTCACATTGGTTTTTTTTTTAAGGCCTAGGGCATTTTTGGAAGATGGTTTTGGTGGAGCAGAAATGCACAATGTGGGTGGGGTTGGACCATGGAAGAAGCCAGGAGGTGAATAAGAGAGTTCAATGTGTGCTTATAATGTTTTCTTTTAATCTGGTGCTGTTCTTTACTGCTCTTCAACTCCTTCCTTCTCTTCTTCCACCCAAACTGACTTCTCCAGCGTTCCTTGTCTCAGTGATCATGCCATCTCCCTGCAGCCCACCTCCGCTGGTTCCACAGTCAAGTGAACAACTGGTCCTGCTGCTTCTCCCTCCTAATTACTGCCCAGCAGTTCTCTCTAGCTGTCCACAGTTGCAAATCCTGAGCCAAATTACCATCCCCTGTATCACTGAACTACCTTGTCAGCCTCCAATTTGATGCCTGTTCTCATGTTCCATTTTTGCCATGCACTCCAATCTATTCTTGTGTTTGCAGCCAAGGTGGTCTTTTGAAATTCATAGATCTGACCCTATACATACAGCCAACCCATAAAACATCTCAGAAGTACATATTAATTCCAAAATAAAATCCAATGCCCATGCATCAAGATTGAGCCTCAGAAGTTCGAGACCCAGACAAAGCCCAGAGAAATAGACAGTGGTATATCAGAGCCCAGGCTTGGGAATTTGTTGATTTGGCTCCCCAAGATCTGTCTGATGAGACCTCAATATTAACAGTCACTATGAAATCTCATTACAAAATGTTATTTTGTTCTGGAACTAAGGATCCAGAAACCTTTAAGTTTTAGCACAACTGATTCTGAAAACAAGGACCAAATGACACCAATGGAATTACAGGTGCCTTGCTTGTCATAGCAGACAAGGACAAGGTCAGTTTTCTCTGTTGACTCCATGGGCCTCTGCTTTGGAGAGGGCAGGAGTGAGCTTGTCACTTATATAGTGTTGATGTGCAGAACATGGCTATGAACCAAGGCACCAAGTCTCTGGGAACTACCTTACAGTAAGCAAAATCTCAAGAATGTACCAGATGTATACACATCAAAAGGGAGATATGATGATGTGTAAAGAGGAAGAAAAATTGCCAAGAAAAAAAAAGACACCTTCAGGTCCACATATTTGAAAGTAAAACTTTCAAAATTTAAAACGAGAAATGTTTGTTGAGTTCTTACTTCATGCAAGACTTGATGCTAAGTTGTTTCTAGGATCTTATCTCCACACTTACTTGGAAAAGATATATTATCTGAAATTTGCTTTGTGAAAATAGAATCCTGATGAAGAGAGCTGGTTGGCTGATGGCAATGGCATTAGGTCAGGATAACGAATTCATGCTGGTGTGTGTGAGCGGTTCCCAGTTTTATTGTTGAAAGTCTGACATCCTGGAAATTTCTCTACATCAAGTTCTGACAGGCCCAAAGTTTCTCTCTGTTCATTTTTAGGTTGAGAGGACTAGAGATTTCACTCACCAGGACAACTTTTTTGCCTGGACACTACTGGTTGCTAAGTTTGTTTTCCTTGCTGACAGTCCTTTCCAGTTATCCCAGACTTTTTTCTAATATAGAGGCTGTAGATCATCTGGAGATGGACAGATAGAACAGCAGATTCATTTCCTCAATGCCCTCCCTTCTTCTGGTGTGTCTTCTTGCTCTGTCATTGGGAAAGATCCTTCTGCAGCCTCCGTGCAGCAAGAGCTCCTCCTGTCACCTTGAATGGGGATACTGGATCTACAGCTGCCATCTTGGCCACGTGGTAGATGATAGGGTATTAGGTTTAATTGCCATCTTGTCGCCATGGTGGAGGCAGGGAAGTCCTCCCTCCCAGCTGATGGGCATGCCTGAATTCCTAGAGGCAGGTACGGGGACTTGGAGAATAGGCTACTGGACCTGCCAGTCTTGGGTCATGAACTCTCAAGCTCCCTGTGACTCTGCCGTCTGACCTGACACTATTTAGGCGCAGACCAGCTCAGGTGCCATTATGCCATGCCTCATGTTCCTGTGTATTCTGTCTGGCTCGCCTCTGATCATCATGGCATCCCACTTCAGCTCTCTAGTTGGGTTGATCTGGTGTGTTGGTATTATTTTTCTGTTCTTTCTTTCTTCTCCTGCTCAAATGGCCCAGTTTTCTGACAGTATTAAGTATATTTGAGGGGCTATAGGTCTTTGTGACAAGAGTCCACCAGCAGTCACCAGCTTTCCAATAAAGACTCCCAGTTTGGCCTATCAAAATGTGGCTTCTCTGTGTTCTTGTGACTGAGATTTACCTTGCAACAATCCAGTATCTGCCAGATGAGCATGGAGATGGGAGTCTTAGAAGGGGCAAGTGAGCACGGCCAGTTGTTGGCCTTCTTGACATGCATGGTGGACACAGCAGCAGGGCAGGGCCAGGGTGCAGGCTCAGCAGCTTTCTTATTGTAGTACAGGCGTACTGCTTCTGGGGCTTTTAGGCAACAATCTCTTAGAAGGAAAGTTATTTTCATAACTTTGGATCTACATAGGATACCTTCAGCCTTCCCCGTGATTTTAATAATGTATTAGTCCATTTCTGTTACAGAATTCCCAAAGCTGGAAACTTTATAAAGACAGGAAGCTAAGTTTGATTCATGATGGTATTCC